TGAAATCTGATGCTGCGAATGACTGTTGCATCTCCGTTGCGTGAAAAGGTGGTAAAGGGTAGATGTACCGGTGCCGATAGATTTTATTCGCCACCCAGTGATGATTGTCTTAGAAAAGGGAAGAGTGGCTGTGTTTAGAAAGGAGAAAAAGGAAGAAGGTTGAGGGGTGCTCTGTCTTAGCATAATCCCACTCTGCACATCTCAGGTTAATGGAGGGAGAAGTTATGAGAAGGGCCCATGGGTGCTTTTGAAAACACTGTCAGGATGATAAAATTACAGAGTGTAAGAGGTAGGAAGAATGTGAGAGGGCTGGCTGTCCTCATTTTTAGAGAAACTTAGTGATTTACCCGGCCACGCTCCACCAGTAGCATAGCCAGCCCTGGCTCTTTGACCCTGAGGCAGAAATCCAGGATTCTTTGATATCACCATCTCTCTTTGAGTTTTTGTGGAAAGAACCTGAGAATTTGTTTGTTTTCCTTAGGGAATAGTTTATTTTTCCTTCCAGATCACTTTGCTTCATGCCTGTAGTACCTCTGGACTCGTGGAGAATAGAGGTATAGTTTTACCCAGACTAAAACCATTGCCATCGAGTCAATTCCAACTCATTGTGACCCTATAGGACAGAGTACAACTTCCCCATAGGGCTTCCAAGGAGCGGCTGGTGGATTCAAACTGCCAACCTTTCGGCTAGCTGCTGAGCTGTCAACCACTGCGCCACCAGGGCTTCTTACTCAGACTAGACATTGCAACTATAGAGCTCGGCGTGGGGGAGGGCATGCACAGAAAGGTAACGTGTTGGTTTTCATCAGAAAATATGTTTTGAAAATTAGCAGAAACAGTGGAAGAATTTATCCTTTAAAATGTTTTCTACTATTTTCGAGGTTTTTAAAATTTGGGGGAGGAGTTTCAGATGTCTTTAAGGATGTTATACCTTTAAAATAGCCTCGTGTATTTGTTGGTATTTCTCTACACTCTCAGCTTTTGACGTGAGGCACGTACGCCTACCCGCTCGTCCGATGTTTGTGGTAGCTACCGCGTGGCTCTCTGCGTAAATCATTGCTCTTGGTTTATGCTTAGATTTTTTTATATAGATTTTGTAAGTAAAGCAGTTTTATTGCTGTGATGCTAATTTTGACAACCATGCAACCTCTGGCTTCTTTTCTGCAGTACAATCTCAATGTATATCTTAAAAGTTTTCTTCTAAGAATTGCTGGTCCTTAAGGGATGTGGAAGGGACAGTCAAGACACTGTCCTCCTGATTATCAAAGGAAACTATTTCTTTAAAGAAGAAATTCCATAAGTACTTGCTTTTGCTGCCAGGACGTTCTTCTTTGTGTTTTACCTAAATACCGAACACCTCGTCGTGGCGCACGTTCATCTCATCTCTGAAAATGAAACAGTTGGTCACCGGCTCCGCACGGCGTCAACTTTACATTAATTAGGAAATCTTGCTTAATACGATGCTATTTTGAAGCGTTTTAAGCTGCACTCCGAAGGTGATGAATGTAGAACTTGTTTAGTGTCTTTTTTGGTGGGGGGAGTTGAACAAGGAGATATCAAAAATAAAACCATTATACTATGCTGTTGGGAAAACTGATTTTAGTTCAACATAACTGAACAGTGTGGCCAGAGTGCAGAGTTCTGTGGAGGAATGTTGTTGCGTGCTGTCGAGTTGGTTCCAACTCATAGCGACCCTACAGGACGGGGTAGAACTGCACTATAGGGTTTCCAAGGAGCGCCTGGTGGATTCAGACTGCCGACCTTTTGCTCAGCAGCTGAGCTCTCAAGCACTGCGCCCCCAGGGCTCCTGCGGAGGAATACTGCCTCTAGCATAGTCCCAAGTTTGTGCTGCTTGATGGGTGTTAGTTGGATGAATCTCATAGGTTGAGACCTCACTGTGGAGGCCTGATTTTATCTCTGCCTGATTAAGCAAGGCATTTGGATGTTATTTAAGTCAGTGAGAAGCTGTTTAAGAATTTTGAGCAGGGAAATGATATAATCCACTGGAGGGAAATGTGCGAAAGGTTACGCTTGATGACAGGACTATGATAAACTTTCTTTTTACTTTTCTAAGAACACATACACTTTCTGAAGTTTTTGAAAGCACTTCTGGCTCTCTATGGGAAGGTGGGAAAGCTGGGTGGGAGACAGCGTCCTGGAATCTGGGAGGGGTAGCATAGGTGCTTTGAGTGAGAGACCCCGGGGAGTTGTCCTTCATGAGAATCACTGTTTTGGGGAATCCTTGAGTATCAGAATCATAGAGTTTAGAGCTAAATTTAACCAAGAGGCCCTCAGATCTAACCCTTGTGTTATAGATGAGGTCCAGTATCCTCCTCAGGGTCCCTAGCCCAGGACGCCTGACTCCTAGGCCATCGCTGTCTCTGATACAGAATAGATTGCAGGGGGGAAAGCTGTGCAGGGGAGCTGACGAGCTGACTCTCAGGGAGGGCTGGCCTGCACAGCTTCGTCTCCCCTGCTCCAAAGTAACTTTCCCAACAAGCCGGAATGTTCCCATATCATCTTGTTATACTTTCAAAAATTGTACTACTAAGATAGTCACTTAAGTTAATAAGTATAAAAATAAAAAAGTCTTAACACCAGGAGGTAAACCACTAAGACATTTTGTAAACTATTTCTATACAATTTTATAAATGCAAATTCTATTGCTTTATAGCTTGGTTTTTCAAACTTAACATATCTGAATGTTTATTTATGTAGCTAAACCTGTATGAATACAGCATTTGAGATGGTCGTGTAGTACAGTGAAACCTGCGAGAACAGGCCTGCGTTGTTTTTCCGCCTCTCGCAGGTTTTCCGCCTTTGACAGGGTGCGGTCTCACCATTTTTCTGTCGCTCGTTTTAGTGGAAAATATTCGAGTTTTCCTTCTCTGACAGGTTTGTGCCTTACACAGCTTCTGGCTTTCCCAGTTTTTACCGTAGTATTTCATCAGATGGATGTGCCACGATACGTGTATAACACCAAACCCAAACCGTTACTGCCGAGTCGCTTCCAACGCCTAGTGAGCCTACAGGACAGAGTAGAACTGCCCCTTAGTGTTTGCAAGGGGCGGCTGCATGGTGATATGAACCCTGGAGGTAAAGGAAGTCGTGGATATGAAGAGGTGCTGAAATGGAGCATTTCACTGTGTAGCATGGGAGGGACTCTTTTTTTCCGGCCCATTCGCATGAGCTTTGCTCCAAGACTTGGAGCTCAAGCTGTTTGATGAGTGTTGTGTTCTGCTACACGGTACTTCTACTAAGCATTGGTTAAACGACTGGACACCGAGCTCCACGTCCACTTATTGTCTCCCAAATTCCAACCTACCTGCTTATAACCTTTGGAACATCATCGTTATGAGCTGTGGGATACCCTGGAGTCAAGTAATAAATCTATTTTAGTAGTTGACTAGACACAGGAAGGCAGATATCGAAAAGGCTTAGTGACTCATTGAACATCATACGTGAGGAAAGGACGCCAAGCCTCCATCCTGGTGAAATAAGGAATTATTGCTGATTTGTGGGGGAGTCTGAAAGATGATACCTGAAGCCTCATGTAACACAGCTGAAGTTGTGAGTTTGTAGATAATGTAAAAGCCTAGCTAGCAGTTTCAATTGTAATTTAAAACATTAGACCTGTCTCCACTTCTAAACAAAATGGGTTGGTTTGCACTTCATGTTCCCCTTTCTCAGTCAGAAACTATTGATTATACAGGGGGGAGAAGGTGAGACTGTAAACCACTGATTATATAGTGGGGAGAAGGTGAGACCGTAAATCATTGATTATATAGGAGGGAGAAGGTGAGACTGTAAACCATTGATTATATAGGGGGGAGAAGGTGGGACCGTAAACCATTGATTATATAGGGGGGAGAAGGTGAGACTGTAAACCATTGATTATAAAGGAGGGAGAAGGTGGGACCGTAAACCATTGATTACATAGTGGGGAGACGGTGAGACTGTAAACCATTGATTATATAGGAGGGAGAAGGTGAGACTGTAAACCATTGATTATATAGGAGAGAGAAGGTGAGACGGTAAACCACTGATTATATAGTGGGGAGAAGGTGAAACTGTAAACCATTGATTATATAAGAGGGAGAAGGTGAGATTGTAAACCATTGATTATATAGGAGGGAGAAGGTGAGACCATAAACCATTGATTATATAGGGGGGAGAAGGTGAGACCGTAAACCACTGATTATATAGTGGGGAGAAGGTGAAACTGTAAACCATTGATTATATAGGAGGGAGAAGGTGAGATTGTAAACCATTGATTATATAGGAGGGAGAAGGTGAGACCGTAAACCATTGATTATATAGGGGGGAGAAGGTGAGACCGTAAACCATTGATTATATAGGGGGGAGAAGGTGAGACCATAAACCATTGATTATATAGGATGGAGAAGGTGAGACCGTAAACCATTGATTATATAGGAGGGAGAAGGTGAGACTGTAAACCATTGATTATATAGGAGGAAGGGGGTAATAGGTAAACTAGATCTTAGTTTGGCTCTGAATTCTCCGTACGATACTGGACAAGATATTTCACCCCTCTGGTTGCTAACCTGTAAGTAATAGGGTAATTAATATTGGATTAGGTAATTGTTGAAGGTCCTTTTGAACTCAAGGAGTCTTTGCTTCAAAACTAAAAAATGACCCCTAGAGGCAGAGTTGGCTGTACTTGCTCAGATTTGAAAAATGAAGCAAAATGCTGATCTAGTAGGTTCCTGTAACTGTTTTAAGTACAGCGTCTTGAAGGTGTCCCTCTATCAAATAAAGAACAAATGCCTCCGTTTAATATATGACTGTGTCAAAAAAAAAAAAAAAATGCAACCACAGGAGGTGACCAAGCGATAAAAACTTTCAGGCATTTTGAAAGCCCAGTAGCATTTTGTATCTGCTCGCTCAGCACTAAGAAGGTCACCTTGCTATTACATGTTAATTTTGAAAGTTTAATTGACCTTTGGAATTTTAATATCCACCTTTTTTGGTGTGTTTAGAGGTGGGAGCAATCACGGAAGAAACTGAAGCCTGCGATTGGTGGAGTCTGGGGGCCGTCCTCTTTGAACTTCTCACCGGAAAGGTAAGCAGTGACCTGGACATTTAATACGTTTATCCAGATGCTACCCTGATGTCAAATTTAGAATGTTAGCTTTGCCTTTAATTTTTAGATCAGGGACTAAGCTTTGATCCAAAAAACAAGCAGAGATAAATGCAAGTGTACCAAGATTCCAGATTTTTTTTTTTTTTTAAGTAGAATTGTATTGCATTGAACAAATTGATGGTAAAATTCTGTTATGTCACAGTGTCACACAATGAGATATAAACTAAATATCGGCTTCGTTTTCTGTGGTTCTGTGGCTCAGTTTCAACAAAGTCAAAGCCGTCCGTATGGTTCATCTATCTGTATGGTTCCTGTAAGGCTGTATGAGAATCCTCTGAATGTTTTTAAACATTTTATCAGAAACCAGGAAGGAATCTTATTTTAGAAAATTAATATAGATGTTAAAGGTAATATCTTTTTCTCAATACTGTAGATTTTCCCTCTCTGTTTTAGCTTAAAGAGAGAATTTATGCTGTCTCTGATCAGTACCTTTTAAGTATGATGTTTGTGGTTACTGAACTTTAACAGAATACTGTGCAGATTGCCTCCTACAGAGACAACAGCAAATGAGCAGTTAGACTTTTGCAAGTAGTCACCTCCCTTAAAAATGGAGATCGTACCAACCGTCCAAGACTGTGGTGGAGCTCACAGAGCAACTGAAACAATGACGTCCTGTGCACATAAAAAGTGTTTTTACTAACAGATTCTAAACTTTGAAGATTTCTAAGAACATTAAGAAAATACAGGGATGTCCAGACCCTTTTTAGTTTTTGAGTATAATTTAAATCTTTCCCTTATCAGCCTTTCTCTCTATAACCGAGGGAAAAGGCTAATTGCATGGCAATACCTCTGAAATAACTTTTGTAATAAACTAGGATGTCATCTTGATGGTTGCCTGCCTTTGTTCCATGTGTCCAGGGTGAAGTTCTGTGAGCGCATAGCCCTTGTCCTAAGCTGCTTGGGTACAACCGTAGTGGTTATGCACTTCTAGTTAAGATGGTTATTGAGCTCTCTGTACTTGCTGTCCATGAACCCCATGATAGAACAGAATATGATGTTACTGGGTAAGAAGTGTATCTGGTTGACTGTTTCAGACTCTAGTCGAGTGCCATCCAGCAGGAATAAACACTCACACTATCCTGAACATGCCAGGAAGCATCTCTGAAGAGGCTCGCTCGCTCATTCAACAGGTAATTTAGATGACTTATTGGCCAACTCTATCAACCATGCAAACTGGTGGAGCCTACTGCTCTAAAACCTTAAAGAAACTCGTTTTAGGCAAGAAAGACCCAGCAGTAATTGCAAATTCAGTGTTATATTCAGACTGTGTATTTATAGGCTTCTACTTTATCCAAGTATTGGTGGGGTCAGAGATACAGTTTAATACAGTTAAAACCTGGTATTAGGTTTTTTTTTTTTTTTTAATCTAGTCTAATGTTTAGTCAATTCCATATATTTGTGTAGGTGTGAGATTTAAATATTCTTTTCAGCTTCTCAGGGGCTACTCTGTATTTGCTGTTACATTTTGTAGTCATACATGAATGGCTGTTTTTCAACCTTTAATTGGCGTTTATAAAGTTAGGTGGGCTACCCAGGCTGCTTAGGAGAGAGGTGGTGGTAGAAAATCTTGCTAAGTTAGGTCGCTACTTCAGCTTCATCCGTAGATGGAGCTTGGACATTGTTGTCAATTAGTACATTTTGTACCTTTGAAGAACGAGATTATTGATAATTAAAGTTCGATATCCCACAGGCAGGCCTGGAACTCTAGGGAGCTTCTTAAACTGATTCCTCATACTTAAGATGCCCAGGTTTGGAATTGTGGGTGTTGCTGCGTGCACTGAGGGTTGTGACTGTCGTGATAGACTCATGGCTAATCGGCAAGAAGGATCAGGCCTGGGGTCTTTACACTTCTCTGACAAGCATGAAGGGAAAGGGTATTTGGAAAAGGTCAAGATCTAAAATGTTTGTTTAATAAAGCATGGATTATTTTTTTAATCTGGGAAAATAAATTTAAAAAAAACAAACAGGGAGAGGAAAGTATATTAAGAAGAGGATTACTTAATATTCTCCCGAAGAGTGATGTTTGTTTCATTCAACACATACTATGTGCAAGGCACATGCTTCAGGCTGCCAGGATGAGGTTCACTGATGAGACGGCCTGTCAGGGAGGTTTAACAAATACAAGTCAGCAGAAGGCGGGATGACCATCTACGTGGGGGTAGTATCAGGAAAGCTTTTCTGGAGTGGATGTTATTTTTGCTGGGCCTTAGACAGGGTTTTGTTATGTCAAGGTGGGATATAGGAAGAATACCCTTGGTGGGGTTAGCAGCTTGAACAAAGGCAAGGAAGGAGTCAGAAAGACTCAGTTTGTAAAATCAAAATGTTGGTTGATCTGGAGTGGAGGGATGAACAGAAGGATGAGTGGTAATAGTAGCTGAGAGGAGAAAGACACTTCTTAGGGGTCCTGTTATCATAAACACCAGGGTAGAGTGACAGTATTTCATTCCGTAAAAACCTAGATTTGGTGTTTTCGTGCAGAAGAGTGAAAGGTTCAGAGTTGTGCTTCAAGAAAATTAATTTGCCTAGAGTATGTAAAGTGTACTGAGGTGAGAATACGAAGATCACTTTGCAAAAGAAATGAGGTAATGAAAAGAGTTATAGATCATTTCATTCTCACAGAAAAAAAAAAAGGCAGCTACTTATTTGCTTTCTCCTTGTTTGTTGTGGCACAATAAGATAAATTCAGGTTTTTTTTGTAAATAATTTAGGGAAGGCTAGCAACGGCTATTTTTTTTCCTTAAAGAAGTAGTCATTTTCATACAATAGTGAAATGGAATTCCCCACATTAACATGTACAGCTCTGCTGCTCTTTTCTGTATTACAAGTTATGTTGTGAGCGAGTCTAGGCTTCAGATCCGGGAAGTTCCCCGGTACAGACATGTGTGCTTGTACATCAGCGTCCCGTCACTGAGGCCTGAGGAAGCCACCAGGCATGCTGAGAAACATCATCAGGAAAGGGAACCAGGGTCTCTTGGTGGGATTAGCAGTCTGTCATTTTGACTGTCTTCTTCCATTCCCTCACATGTCATAGATGTCATCTTAAAAATCACCAAGTGGTTTATGTGGAAAAAATCATGCTGCTTTGGGGAGTTTTCTTCTCTTTGGTCTTTCAGCTCCTTGCTTTCCTCCTAGATTTCATAATCCCTGTACCTGTGGCTCAGTGATCTGTCCCCGTCGGGTGAATGGTGTTCATGTAAACATCGTTCGCAGCAATCTTACTTTTAAAGGCACTTAGATTTTATGACTCTTCAGAGCACGTATGTTGGTACTCTCATGTGTGCATCCGGTTAATTATGCCATGGTTGCTTTGTCAGTTGAAAGATATCATATGAGAAGAAAACCTTCAAAACATGCACTTCTGTGTCCTCCTTGCTCAGTTCTCTGCCTGTCATTCAGGTTAGAGAAGGGTGGCAGTGACTGGATTTGCCACTGGCTGACTGGGATGGTTAAGATTGTGTGTCACCTTGGCTGGGCCATGATTCTCCGTGTTTTAATGTAGTCACTCTCATGATTGAATATACTGTGAGTAGCCAGTCAGATGAAAGGGAGTCTCCTTGGGGGTGTGGCCCGCATCTGTATATAAGCAGACGTTCTGGCTTTTTGCTCTCTCTGGATCCTGCGGCTGCTCCCTGTCGTCTCATCTACCGTTCTTGGGACTTGAGCTGTCAGCTTATCTGCCGAACCTGGGATTCGTTGATCTGCACAGCCTGTGAGTGGGAGCCCTGCTCTCCGACCTTCCGATCTTGGGCTTGCCAGCTTCTGCAGCTGCGTGACTTGGGAGAGGCCTGTACCCTGATCCACGGACTTGGGCCATTCTAGCCTCTACAATCGCGTGAGCTGTTTCCTTGATATAATCTCTCTCTATATATATATTTATACACTTTGCAGGTTTTGCTTCTCTAGAGAACCCAGCCTAAGACACTGACACATTTTCCTAAGCGATCAATCTTCCTTACGTGACCTCTCTTGAGGCCTGGTATGTCATTTAAAATGGCACAATAAGCAAGATAGTCATGGGTAAAACAATTATACTTTTGCCTGTAGATGTACGTTGTTGTTATTAGGTGCCCTTGAGTTGGTTCCGACTCATAGCAACCCTAAGTACAATAGACCGAAACACTGCCCAGTCCTGCGCCATCCTCACAATCCTTGTTATGCTTGAGGCCATTGTTGCTGCCACTGTGTCAATCCATCTTGTTGAGGGTCTTCTTTTTTGCTGACCCTCTCTACCTTACAAAGCATGATGTCCTTTTTCAGGGACTGGTTCCTCCTGATAACACGTCCAAAGTATGTGAGATGTAGTCTCGCAATCCTTGCTCCTAAGGATCATTCTGGCTGTACTTCCTCCAAAACAGATTTGTTCATTCTTCTGGCAGTCCATGATATAGTCAGTATTCTTTACCAACACCATAATTCAAAGGCATCAATTCTTCTTTGGTCTTCCTTGTTCATTGTCTAGGTTTCACATGCATATGAAGGTCTTCTTATTTTTCGCTGACCCTCTACTTTACAAGCATGATGTCCTTCTCCAGGGACTGATCTCTCCTGATAACATGTTCAAAGTATGTGAGATGCACTCTCTACATCCTGGCTTCTAAGGAGCATTCTGGCTGTACTTCTTCCAAGACAGATCTGTTCTTTTTTTGGCAGTCCATACTGAATATTCTTCACCAACACTGTAATTCAAAGGCGTCAATTCTTCTTCAGTCTTCTTATTCATTGTCCAGCTTTTGCACACATATGAGGCAATTGGAAATAATCATAGCTTGGGTCAGGTGCACCTTAGTCCTCAAAGTGACATCTTTGCTTTTTCACACTTTAAAGAGGTCTTTTGCAGCAGATTTGCTCAATGCAATGCATTGTTTGATTTCTTCGCTGCTGCTTCCATGGGTGTTGATTGTGGAGCCAAGCAAAATGAAATCTTCGACAACTTCAACCTTTTCTCCGTTTATCATGATGTTGCTTCTTAGTCTAGTTGTGAGGATTTTTGTTTTCTTTATGTTGAGGTGTAATCCATATTGAAGGCTGTAGTTTTTGATCTTCATCAGTAAATGCTTCAAGTCCTCTTCACTTTCAGCAAGCAAGGCTGTGTCAGCTGCGTATCAAAGCTTGTTAATGTGGATGTATACTTGCAAATATTATAGAACACCCCATGAACTAAGTAAATTGACTTTAGTAAAAGTCAAAACATGAGGCTTCATTGGAATTTCGTGTATGAAGTCATATTTTGAAAAGAATGAAGATGGAAAAGCTGTAACAAGGAAGAAACAACTTACACATTTATAGTTTCCTGAAATAGAAAACAATGTTATATTTATGTTTAATTCCTACCAGTGTTTGGTATGTTAGATTTCTATTATAATGCCTGATGCCCTTCATGTTTCAATCAGTAAGCATGGATTCTCTGATTCTGAAAATGCATTTGGTATATTTAGGATATTCCTATGATGTGAAAGTTAAGTTTGTATTATAGCAGCAGCCTTTCTCTTAACTCATTTTAGCAACTTTCTTCTAATATACAAATTCTTTGAGCAATTAGATATAATGGACACTTTCGCATGCTAGACACAATAATTTCAAGTAAAAAGACTATTACTGTAGTCTTTTAAAGCATATGCTTCACTCCCCTTGCAGATTTGGTAATATCAAAGTGAAGTAATGGATTCTTGGCATTTGCAGATTAAATACTTATGAGGCACGTGATGTTGTGGTTAAGAGCAATGGATTTTAGAGCCAGACTGCCTGAATTCAAATCCTGTCTTTGTCACTTACTAGCTGTATGATCTTAGATAGGTTACTTAATATCTCTCAGGTTCTGTTTCTCTTCTATAAAATGGAGATGATAGTAGCTATTCATACAGTTGTTGTGAGTTAAATGAATTAGCCTGTGTTAAGTGCTTATAAAAATACCTGGCACACAGTAAGTTGTATATAAAAGTTTATTGTTACTATTTTGGAGTCCTGGTGGTATAGTGGTTAAAAGTTCAGCTGCTAACCAAAAGGTCGGCAGTTTGAACCACCAGCCACTCTTTGGAAATCCTATGGGGCAGTTCTGCTGTGTCCTATAGGTTCACTATGAGTCACATTCGACTCAAAGGCAATGAGTTTATTTATTTATTTATTTATTTTG